GGATTAGCTGCATGGTAGGTCAAGTTAACATTCTGAGTAAATAATGACTGAGTTTTGGGAACCCAAACAGCTGTGGCATTTCACAGAAATGGGATTTCGAGAGATGTGAGTTCTATTTTTGATTTTCTAATTTACCCTCTGTCTCTGAAGTTCAAGACAAACAATTAAAGCAGCCGGTGAATGTTGAAATAGAGTAGTATAAAGAAAAACAGCTGAACTATAATAATTTATAATGAAAATATCTTGTGTCTTTGTATATTCTGATCTTTCTATAATAAAAATAGATTACTTATACAATAAAAGATTTCAACAATAACAAAAACTAGAAGGTAAAACAAGCAAAACTGTTTCCCAAATGATCTCTTTTCCTTCATCTGTAGTCATAAATGTGGCCCAAGTGGTGACCAGATCCATGGATTGGAAGTCCATTGTCTGAATGAGGCCCAGTGATCCACTTCAATGATGCGTTAGTTCAGGAGTTTAGTCAGTCTAAATGTAAGTAAGTCTTAGTGAATCTTCCTTTATGAGAACATTTATTAGTAGCATAAGTATATCTAAGCAGGCCTCAAATCTCAGATAACAGTGCAGGATTTGAAAATGAGGACAGTAATGCCTACATGTGGTAGGTATCCAAGAAATGCCAGTCTCTTTTCTGCTTCTTTTGTCTAGCATCTTAATAAGAGCATCTGCAAAGGGCTTCAGTATTATAGTTCACCATGAGTGTTATTGCACACGAGTTTCTTGCTCTTTAACTGAAGTTCAGTGTTTGGAACTACTTCAGTTCTGGATCTTTTTCTCCTACTGTTGCATATGTGCAGATAGTCTAACACACCCTGGAAACATCCTCTCTTTCAGAGGTGATGCCCCAGTGACCTCAGTAACAAAGCTCACTAACCCATGCAGATACTTTTACATAGATCGCAGACTTCAGTGATATAGACAAGGCAATGGAAAGAGTGTGATTTCTTCCCAAATGACTATCTCAGGTCTGGTAAATGGTCAGGATCAAAACTATAACTTTTGTTTTTTCTCTTTTTTTTTTTTTTTTTTTAAAGACAGAGTCTTGCTCTGTCACCCAGGCTGGAATGCAGTGGTATAATCTTGGCTCACTGTAACCTCCACCTTCCGGGGTTCAAGCGATTCTCCTGACTCAGCCTCCTAAGTAGCTGAGATTACAGGCGCATGCCAACACGCCCAGCTAATTTTTGTATTTTTAGTAGAGATGGGGTTTTATGTGTTGACCAGGTTGGTCTCAAACTCCTGACCTCAGGTAATCCACCTGCCTCAGCCTCCCAAAGTGCTGGGATTACAGGCATGAGTCACTGGGCTCAGCCAACTAAAACTCTTAAAAGTGACATGAGAGTATCAAAGAATGTTCTGGAATGGACCTTCCAGCCCAGGTCCCAGGGTAGCTTCCTATTTCCACACGCATCTCACTTACTAGTGGAATTAGTGACTAGGACACACTGATTTTCTCTTTCACTTTCAGTTGGTTTTAACTCATTTGCCTTTGGAATCATTGCAATTCTTTGTTTTCTTACCTGGAGGCCCTAAATCTCAGTGATAATGAAAGGATACAATGTTATAGGCATTTCTAATTTCTAATTTCCCTTTATGTGTCCTTTACTATTTCTGCCAAGCATCAGGCATTCAGGCTAAGTTCACCCAAATTGGTAATTAGATAACTGGTAATTATCAACAGCAGTAAGCCTTTCCGGAACTGCTACCATGTATCAGATACTATAGTTTTCACTGGTGATTCAAAGACAGGGCAGTATCAGAGTTTACTGTTTCAATGTGTACTAACCTTAGTGAATATTCTAGTTCCTAACTTATTGAAGAACCAGCTCTATCTATGAACTCTGGGATCCTGGTTAAGGCTATTAACTTTTATGATTCTTAGTTCTCACGTATAAAGCAGGAATCATCACACTTCTATGGGCTTATGTTAGGAGTGAATAAAATAATGTATACGAGAGAGCTTTGAAAAAGATGCAAATATGAGATGACTGTTACTCCTATTAGACAAGGAAAATCTGTCACATGCAAATGACAACTAGTTAAAAGAACTTATTGCCAACTGCACTTATCTGTAAGCCAAGACCACGGGCCACTCAGAGATCAATGGCAGTGATTTTGTAACATTTCACAGGTGGCTAATAAATATGCAAACTTGATAAATTATCTGATGAAGGAAGCACAATGCCCGGAACATAATTATTTGTGGAATTGAACAGAACTGAGCCTTAAAGAATGAGTAGAAATTAGATAGGTCAGCAGCGCTGTGGATAGACATTCCAAGCAGAGGGTATTACACCAAAAGTACTCTGGGCAGTGGAGAAATTTTAGGAAGTTTGGTGTGGCAAGTACATAACTCTATGAACTGGGATTTGATGAGAAATCAGGCTGAAGAAGTAGGCAAGGACCAGATCACAAAAGGTATTGTGTGCTGTGCTAGAGTCTGTTTCTCTTTTTGAAGGTAACTTTGGAAAGGTTTTAAACAAAAGAGAAATTTATTTATACTGGCCTTTTAGAATGACTACTCTGGTGGCAAATATATGATTAGTGTAGAGGCTAGGAGGAGCATATCATGGTGATCCAGGTGAGAGGCAGGTGGTTCTGAACTAAGTAGTGGAAGGAAAAAAAGTGGGGGATGGAGACCAAGAAACAGATTCAAAAGGAATTCATGAGGCAGAATTGCCAGAACTTTTAGTGACTTGAGGGTGTGTGTGTGTGTGTGTGTGTGTGTGTGTGTGTGTGTGTGTGTATGTAAAGGGGTTGGGATAACTTCTAGACTTCTGCTTTGGATGGCTGATGGATAGAGCCATTAACAAGGATAAAGCAAATAGGAGAAAGGTCCTGGAGAGGTAAGTGATGTTTATGGTCTGTTTTAAGAAAACGGGGAAATACTTCATATGTTTTAGAAAGGTTTTCATGAAGATCTCCTTAGGTGTCCTCTTCTTCCTTTGACCATGGCTTTCCTCAACATCTGGTAGGTAAAACAAATGGCACATTTGGTTGGATTCCTTTCATAGTGCAGAACAACGGATGAGGAGCTCAGGCTTGTTTTTGTTAGGAGTTGGTTTTACCTACATGTTGCTTCTTAGCTATTTCCAAGCATAGATTCTTTATTAAACTCATCAACCATTGTCCTGCTACACTTGTCACTGAATATATTGTATGCATGTGGTTGGTTTAGTAGAATAGTGTCATTGGAACAGCTTTTGGAATCATTTAAAACAGATACTTGTGATTGTATTCTAAGTCTAGGCTGTTCCTATCCATTCATTTTCAGTTTTGAAGTCAGCCTCAGAATTGGTTTCCATCATTTTAATTTTGAAATTTATATTATTTTTGAATTATTATGGTATAAGAAACATGGAATGATTTTACTTTCTTGAGAAATATCACTGATTTTGCACAATAAATATGAGGTTCTTGAAGGCAAAGTTTCTTTTTGTTTATTTCTAAGTCCTCAGCACACAGGATTTTCTGGCACATATGAAATGCTTAGCAGATATTTGTGGAATATGGAATGATTAAATTTAAATGATGGCTGTCCTTTTTAAAGAAGACAGTTTAGAGTTTCCTAGATCAAACATATTTCATAATAATAGGCATAATCATAGGCAGAACTTTGCCTGTAATATTTGTAGAATATTATATATGGAAAGAAAATCATTGAAAACATTGTGGCTCATTTATCATGCATGGTCACTGAGATTTTTGGTTTCGTTGCTCACCCCAAAGCACTTCTTATCAATCACAATATGAAGTTGATATACAGATTTCCATGTAGCATAAGAAATGTTTGCTAAAGGCCAACTGAAAGTATGGAGATTATGATTTCAAATTTTATTTATTTACTGGTGTTATTAGCAAGATGCTCCTATCTTTTGAATTAGTGAATTATATAACAACATTCACTCACTCCTGTTATCCATACTAAACTTCAGGCAGAAACATATGCCAAATGTCCACATTTTCCAGAATATGCCATTACAGACATTACTTAAGAGTAGCAGAAGGCCAGACATGGTAACACATGTCTGTAATCAATCCCATCGCTTTGGGAGGCCAAGATGGGCGGATCAACTGAGGTCAGGTGTTCAAGACCAACCTGGCCAATATGGTGAAACCCTGTCTCTACTAAAATATAAAAATTAGCTGGGTATGATGGCAGGCGCCTGTAATCCCAGCTACTCGGGAGGCTGACATGGGATAATTGCTTGAACCCAGGAGGCAGTGGTTGCAGTGAGCCGAGATCGCACCACTGCAGTCCAGCCTGGACGACAGAGCAAGACTGTCTCAAAAAACAAAACAAAACAAAACAAACAAACAAAACAAAACAAAACAAAAGAGTAGCAGACCACTCTTCACCAACAAAACTCTTTATGATACCTGGCACACAGCTGAGTGTTAGTCATACACTGGCTCTGGGTTTTTGTCTGCCCATTACCAAGGATCTTTTTTTTTTGTCTTCTGGTTCTTATGTGGACTCCTCTTTCAATCCTCGTGGTCCCAGAGGGTTGTCAGAGTGAGGCCACATCCTCCCCCCACAGACAGGAATGAGCCTATATCGTGAATTTATGTGCACCACTCCCCAGCACAGCGCTTAGTTTAGAAATGGGCGTGTGACTCAAAGCTCTAGAGTTGATGGTTAGAGAATCCATCTGAGAAAGAAGCCAAATAGGACAGGATGATGATGTTTTTGAAAGCACTGAATCCAGCTGTGCTTCAGGTCCACAATGGGTCTTCTCATTAAGTCAAACAACACAATATCTTTTTCTGTAGGCAAATTTGAGTTGCATTTCTATAACTAGCAACCAAAACAGTCTTAATGAATACAGAATTGCATTTGAAAAGTTTAAATAATGATATTAACCAGTCTGTCTTGAACCCCTTCCTTTCCTTAACGTTTGGGGTTGTAACATACACTTTAAAAAATGCTGACAACTTAAATGACATATCTGAGTGTGAGACACACTTAGTCTGGAAGCTCATGTCAAACAATTCTTTATTTTTTATGGTACAAATTAAAAGTGACAGATCTGAAGCTGTTAAGAAATACACAAAGTGCAGCTTTACTGACCATACAGATATTGCTCTAGATTAAGTACAGTTTTTTTTTTTTTTAAAACATTAAGCAACCTGTGCAGATAAAATCAGCTTTGGTTTCAATGTCAGAGCAAGTAAGGAGCTTTTAAATATTCAGTTTGGCTTCTTGGTCACAAGTCTATCATGTCAACTTCTCATCATGATGATTTTTCCAAAACAACCCAGTCCTGTTTCCTGCCCTCCCTCCTGCTGCCTGCTCCAGGCACGGAGAAGCAGATCTCTTTGTGGTGCCTCATAAGTGACCCCGGTGACCAGTCTAGATCATAGCACATAGGACAAAAAAATAAAATTACTTTCTTAACAACAAATAAACAAATGTGCCTCACATAATTTCAAGTTGAAGACAAGCAAATCACGTGACAAAAGGCTCATTACAAAATGTTATCCAAACAGATTTTACAGTCAAACATTGAAATGAAAATCAATTTCCTTTATCTCCATTTTTTTAAGCTTGGTCATTAACTGGTACAAGTAGAGTGCTGAGGTAAAACACTGATGAACAGTTTGTATTTCTTTTTTTTTTTTTTTTTAAATAGGAACAGTTTAGTATTGCGAGATTGTCAGCAACATTTAGCCATATCTATACAATGTGCATATACCTACAAATATTGAGCTTTGGTCCAGCGTAGAGAAACGAGCAAAGGCATTTTATGATTTCTTTTTGGTTATAGCTTGAGTTCTTTGATATGCCTCTACTTGTTTTGTTTTGTTTTGTTTTTCCTAGCTCCTTTTGCTTTTTTGTTCTCTCTTTTGTGTTGTGTGTACATGTGTGTGTGCATCTGTGTGATGACAACATAAAGAAGCCAAAACGTTGCAAATGCAATTAAAACTTCCAACTGTTCAAAATATTTTCTTGGTTGAAAAAGAAAGAAAACCTATAAACAAGTGTAAAATATAACATCCATTGTCATTTTTTCATGAAGTAATGAAGAAATGCAGATGACAATAAAAATTACTTGAAAAAAATACTGAAGCTTGAAATACAATCACATATGCCCAAAGTGGCTTTTATTTTTTGTTGGTAGCAATCTTAACCTTCAGTTCGTGAAAACATAAAAGACACTTAAATGCTATTGGCATATGAAGTTGTTTACAAGTAGAAATGAGAAATGTCATCATAAAATTAAGCATTAGGTGTGGTCCCAAAGACGTATGAGTTACACAGTATAATTTATATTCCTAAGAATCTGTTCAGGCACCTTTTTATGCCTTGTAGCAAAAAATTTATCTGTAAAAAATTAATATAAGAAGCATTACAACACCTTATAAATAATTTATAAAACAATACAAAATTATAAAACTATAAAAAAATCACTGCACATGAATGGTGTTATGACTGTGGGATGAATATATTTCTTTTTTGTTCCACTCTGGAAGATTGCTTTTATTTTATATTTTCCCTGTCCTAGTTAGACCCTCCCAATTATAGATCTCAGAACTGAGCAGGCCTTATGTAACCACTGCTGGAATATATTTAAATATTTAGTATCCGTCATATGTTATCTTGTTAACTTCTCTTCGCAGGGAACTTTTCTTGATGGAATTTGGAGCAGGTCCTAGGAGAATCCAAAATCTGTTATAATCAATAAAGTTTTGGGTTTCTGGGTTGTCCGTATTTGTGCAGTTTTTGAGGTGGCGAAAGGGGCTCTGTGATGTTGGCGTTGAAGATCAAGTTAGCTGTGGTCCAGTTAGCATTGACTGGTGAAATGGAAACACCTTTACGAGCGACTAGTTCCGCTTCCAGGATTCCTTTTAGAGTTTCCTTGCTGGTAGTCTCTTGATTGCTGCATGAATCACTGGAGGGGACAATTATACTGTAGCATTTATACAACCAGCAAAGGAGCCAACAGAAGAAACTCAAACCCCCTGGGGAGAGGGAGTGTAAGGGGAAGGAGATGGCATTTTTAATCAGTTGGGCAACTTGAGATTGGGTTTCTTTTTTTTTTTCCTTTCACAACTTACTTCTAGATAATACATTAGCATGATTATAAATTATGCATAAATATTTACATTTCAACAGCAAGCAAATTGACGGCTCTCTTTCGCCTGCTCCTTTAATGGAACACCGTCTGCCTATACCTGGGTGAAAACACCAGTGGCAGGTGCCAAGTGCTCACCCGTACAGCTGTCCTCACATCCCAACACATCCTCCTTGCTTATTAGGTTATCGTGGCCCGTAGATCTTTTAAGTTAATTTTTTTTTAAAGGAAAGAATCTTCTAGTTCTCATAGTAAAAGGCTATTCTGATGTGTTAGATAAGCCCTTCTATATTTTTTTCTTTTGGTGGAAGTTTCTTCAAACTTTTTTTCCCCTGAAGAACCCAGTCCCCAATTCCAGTTGTTTAAATTTGCCTGCCACCTTTCTGCTCCATTTATATATCCCAAAAAATGGTTATTCCCCCCTGAAAAAAGTCTGCCATCGCTATTGGAATGAAAGAAGTAGCAGAAAAGATGAGATTAACAGGATACACGATGGCCTTTGACGATCCAATTGCTATCACTTTCTTTTTAGCCTGTTTCTTTGTGTGTGTGTTTATGGGTGTGTGCATGCCATGTGTGTATTTGACTGAAATCTTGAGACATTTCTTTGGCTATCAGACTTCTGAGAGAAATTGCTTTGCACAGAAGCATAACATAGATGTAAGTATTGAACCAAATGTGCAGCTTATGTTTATATTACAAAATTAGTTTTGGTCAGCTCTCCATGTACGTGGCCAACAGACTGAGAAAAATCCCAAGCTCTGGTGTGGACAGTGAGCACAATTACAGCTTATGCCAGTGTTGACAGTTCATCGAGCAAAGCCCTAGTTATTTTGGAGTCTTTCCTGCATTTCACTAGGGTCTGAGTGGAAAAGACACAGTTCCTCCCCACTTCTGTGGCCTTCCAGCAGACCCCGGGAGCCACTCGCGAGGGAGATGGAGAAATGGAGGAAAAGAAACGCGGCTCCATTTTCTTTTCTCAAACCCACAAGTCATAGTGGGAAAAAAGCAACAAATGCTTTGGCACACGATCCAGGATGCCCTCCCGTCAAAAAGAAAGAAAAAGAAAAAAGACCACCCTCCCCACCACCCCCAAAAGAAACCCAATAGTGAACCTCACAGAATGGCTTTAACAATGATACCCACCCCATGGGTGGAGACAATAGATGGGAAAGATGAGTGAAATCAGGCTTCCTATTGTTCTGTTAGTACAAATGTAAAAATTCGTAACACAACTTTACGCACGGAGAAGCGTAGATGAACGATCGCGTTGCAATGCCAGTTTCTGACTTTGGTTAATAGGTTTCATAGTGTATCAGCACTTAGTACCTGAAGGGGTGCAGTCCTTCCTCCAGGTGGCAGGCTTGTATTCGCTTTGAACAGATCAAAGTTTTTTGTTTCTTCATTGTTGTTGGTTTTTGGTTTAGTTTTTTTTTTTTCTTTTTCCTTAAAATGTGTTCACATTTCATAATATACAGAAAACAGTACGTGGTTATTTGGTTTGCTTTAAGTCCATTAAAAAACTGGCTTTGGGGGAGACAGGTGGGGGAAGGGAACTATTCTACCACACACACCTTTGGTGTGGTGTATTACTTGTTTAAAAATTTTCAAAAAAATTTCTTTTTTCCTTTTTGGAAAACCAACGGACATATAGAAAGCATTCTGTCCACTTGGTAGTTTTGTTAGTCTTTTACTTAGAAGGGTGATGATGACTGGGGCTATTTTTACATTTTTTTTTTAAATTAAAAAATTTTTTTTGTGGAGTCCCAACGGTGGAGTTAAGTTTCTGTGAATTTTGCTTCTGATTATGGGTGGGCATTTCTTTAGGAGTTTTCTTCCAGAGAGTCTGTTAAGGGCTCCAAAGGGACTGCCGTGGTCGGCTCGTGCTGTTTTAAGCGTTTAATTGTGTTCTTCAGGGCTTGCCTTTTATTGCAGAACCAAACTCTAACTACTTCCCGGTCATAGTTCAGCTTCTCAGCAATTTCGGTCATTTCCTGCCCAGAGGGGTGTGTGTTCTTCTCAAAGTGGGCATTGAGGATCTCAAGGGCCTGGGGTGTGAAGGAGGTGCGCCGCTTGCGCTTTTTGGATGGTTCACTCCCGATAAACTCGGTCAGGTTCTGCATACCTGCTCGATGGCGGGCCTCAGCCTCAGCCATCCACCGCTCAAGCACCGGCTTGATCTTCTGGGCACTTTTAGGGGTGATGTCCAGCTTTTCAAACCTGGCAGGATACAAAAGGCCAGGGTTCAGTTTGGCTGTCAGACTGCTAGCTATAGTGTTCTCTTGGGCTTCCTGTGGTAGGAAAAAGTGGCTTCTCAGGATGGTGTGTCTGGGGGGAAAATTGAGAAAGAACAGTCTTACACTGAGTCCTCTGCCAGGGTGGGCCTCCTGCCTGCCTGCCTGACTGCCTGGCAGGGCAAATTCACTGCAGGTTAATAGCCAGCTGCAAGGTAGCCAGCCCTGCCCAAGCCAGCGCCCACCTTCCCAGCATGCTCCATGCCAGACCATGCAAACCACACATGCACACAGACAGGGGTGAGGAGACAGCAGGATGCATGAGCTATTATAACAGGCACGCAAACAACTCACAGGCCTTTTCCTTATAAACTCTGAGATCTAAGCTTTTATTTTAATAGCACCAGGTCCATTTCCCCAGTCCGCAGAATCCTGAAGGCAAAAATTAACACTAGGAAGTGCCATCAAAGATGACAGTTGTCACATTCTTTCATTTAAAATGATTCTTTACATTTTACATTTGGTTTTCTTTAAATTTGCCCCATTGACTTGGTTATAAAAATGTTATTGCTATTATCATAGTCACTGATGGCCACTGGGACTTTTTTTATGGCTCTCTTTTTATCTCTCTTTTGTGTCTCATTTTGACTTCGCTCTCTTTTTCTCTCTCTGGGAATAAACAATTTTCACCATATGTAAGTTAACAACATGCTCTCTTTCCAGGTAAAACATAACCCATTGCTACTTTCCTGTTCTGGCTCAAACAGCTGGACACATTGTAATTACTGTAAAACACCCCATCCCTGGGTGTGCTAAGGCCGCCTCCCGCCCTCCAAACACCATCCGGGGTAATGGTGTACTTTTGCACCAGGGCACCAAGCTGTGTTTAATGTGTGATATCTGCAAACTGTACTTGAATGATATCATTTTCTGTAAATGAGGTCTTCTAGACATCAATTGCTATCAGCAATTCTTTGCTACATTGACTTTAAAAAATATGAAGCATCTTGGACAAAATTATATAGAGTGTTTTAAGAGGTCATCCTGGTACCAAACTCACACTTGCTCTCAATGAAGTACAAAAAAGTAGAAATTCCTTTTATTCATTTGTTTATTCTAAATCCAAATTTACAGACCTCCAGTATGACAACTTTGGATACATAGAATTCTCCTCTCCCTTTTACAGTGTCCCATGCTGTTGAAAAACTTCTGACTATAGAGTGCGTCTTATTACAATGGTCTGTTCTCATAGAGCTAAACTGAGCCCGTGTTACTCAGAATATGTTTTGTAAAGATGCTTGCAAAAGGACAGAAGAGGAGAGGCTTTCTTTATGTGCCACAATCTTATTTTTGGCAGCACATTTTAGATCTCTTATAATGTGATAAGCAGCACAAACAGAATCAAATTTTAATGTAATTTACATAGTATTCCCTTCTATGTAGAATGCAAGGGTTATTTGTTTATTTTTGAAAAACTCAACTTCCAGTACTGGTCAAGGAGGGAAGGAGTACATTTGCTTTCCATACAGAGGGAACTGATCATTTAATGTTATTTAATGAACTTGTCCTTTATGGCAAGCTCCTAAGCTCTCATTGTTGTGCTAATTTGCCACATACCACATTTTGCCATCGTTTGCCATAAAATCCCCAAAGCTTAAATATTTGATAGCACGACAGCAGGCTTTACAGTGCAAGGCACCAGGAGACAGAAGTTGTGATGGGGCTGATCAGTGTATTGGCAATGCTTTTTTCCAATATACTTTTTAAATAAGGAGGGATTTAAAGCAGCTCTTAGGAGTCACTGCAGCTAATGAGGGACAAGGATGCCTGAGTGTGCAGGCTCCAAAGCAGGTTCCTCACCACCGTTTGAATTCACTTAAATTGTTCCAATGTAAGATCTTGGTCTTTCTTTCTTTTCTTGATAGCTCCTAAAATGATCAATGAAATATAGGAAGCTAGAGAAAGGCCCAAAAGTCAAGGCATCAGACATGTTCTATTATAGTAGGAATTCCCAAAGTCTCCACATTTCAGCCACAGCTTTTTTACCTCTCTCTGGGGTAGACTTTAGAAATTAACATATTTGACTGGGAATGCCCTAAAAATGCTAGGTGTATGAGGTAAACATTAAACATTAGCTAGTGCTTATATCAATAAAAGGAAATCACATTTTAGGACTAATAATAAGTTAAACAGGAATATAGCACCAAAAGAAAATTGGCAACAACTTAAAAGCCTGTGGCTGCCTTTATCCCAAGGCTGTCAAGATGAAACAAAATTAATGCTTCCCAACAGGGAGCAATGATATTCATATCATGGATGCTGCTTGTTAGTGTTGCCGCTTCTGTACATGTTGTTTGGAATAACATATACAAGCCTTGAAACAAATTTCCCAGCAGTAGTATCCTTGTATAGACTGAATAAAGGTTATTTTCTACAGGGAGGTATCTTATAAGAAAAAACAGTAGGGGAGGCCATAGAAGTGAGAGGATCCTATGGTGCTTTTTGTATTTAACAACAATCAATGGGTTTTATGGAAAATCATTGAGCAAAATGTGAGCTGCAAGCTACTACCCCATACTGATGTTATTTATAACCTTAGTCTTAAACTGCAGGAAAAGTACACTTCCGTCCTTTGGGGAATACATTAAAAGTATAAAGAGCAGATAAAAAGATAGCATTTCATGGATCACCAAGAACAAAATCCACTTAAATGAGTTTAGAGTTGGTTTCTTGGCTTTTCCTGATGGAGGAGGACTCATAAGGTATTGCCCAAGAGGAAAAAGCTCTTACCGAAGTGCCTTTGTTACCTCATGCATAAACATGGGATTAGTGCAACACACACATGCATGCACGGGGCCTGCTTCTGACCACTTAACCCGGATCAACTTGAACACAACCAAGGCCGGATTCTGTCATTTATTTATTTAATTTGGGGGAGATGGGCAAGGTTAGGCCAGATTCTCACCACTCTTTTTTGAGCCATTTAAAGCATCCACTTATTTTATTTTATTTTTTATAAATGTGCTTTTAAAGCTGTGTCTGAGAAGGCGTTAAAACCTTCAAGGTCACAAGATAGTTATTTTTTTTGTTTTTTAATGTGTGTTTTCTTGGAAAATCCTGATAGCCATCTCTGGTCAGAAATAGTGAAGGCGTTAACACAAATTAGGAATGGCAACCATTTGCTCAGGGTACCTATGTGCAGACAAAGTTGGTGGCTCTCAGCTGCACAGGAGTGTGGGCCCAGGAGAAAGGCCCCTGACCCTGGGGCTGGTGTATTTCCAATGAGACTGCCTTGGAAGTTCTTTGTGAGTTGACAGGAGTTATCAAGCCAGGACCCCCAAATCTGCTTCAGCAGCGTTGTTTGCATCAAGATCACCAATCCCAACATATAGCTGCCCACAAACTTTGTTCCCACTCTCTGCCCCTCCAGCTTTGCCCACCCGATGAAGAAAAGCTGAGCCGCAAGGACAAACGAGGCCCAGGCCGGCTGGGTGAGATGACAGCATGCAGGCGCGGGTTACCTGCAGATGGCCGACTGGCTGTACGCGGGGCCCTCTGTAGCACTGAGAGCCTGTCCCACCTGAGTCTGGGTCAGGCCAAGGGACAGGCGCCGGATTTTAAAAGCTTTGGCAAATTCTCGGATCTCCTCCAGATTAACCCCATCCACCTCACCCGCTGCCGTTTGAGGATCTGTGGAGATGTTTTTAAAAATAGGATCAATACGTCAACACACAGCCGAGCAATATCTGTTTATTACGGTTTACAAGAAAGTGACTCTCTTTTAACAGCAGAGGAGTGGGGAAACCAGCCTCAGAAAATGTTCTCTTTGTCTCCCACGTGAGACACCCAAGACTCCATCCTCAACTCATTACACCTCCACAAATCATCCTTCGAGATATTTCTGTCCCAGATAAAACCACAGCTTGCTCACACTGCCGCTTCCCCAGTGCCACAGCATGCTCCTTAGGGCTTAACAAGTAACAGCCAGCACTGGGAGGCACTTGCTATGGGGGTACGATTCCATTTTGTCCATAAATATGTTCAAATACTGTGCAAAATATACAAAGGGAAAGGTTTCCATTTAAAATGTTTTAATTAGTATCTTTAATGCTCAAAATTGCTCTTGAAGAAAATAGTATTTTGTATTTTTCCTTCACCTGATCACCAATGCAGCCAGGCTAACAGCCAGGCTAACAGATGATAATGTTGCCTAATTTCTCACGTTCACATTAGTTCTTCAGAAGAACATGCTTATGAAACTGTGAGAACGATATTGTCTTTTTCCCCCCATAGCAGTTTACTGACAGATGCCTTTGTCCCCTGAAAGGGCACATAATAAAAAATGCCTACCACAGGAAAATTCCTTTGGTGCCGGATAACGTGGTCAATTTAGGACTTATCAAGGGAAATGACACAACAGCTGGAGAATGAAACTTTTCCCCCCCTGGCTACTGATCCCTGGATAAATGAAAGCCTACACCAAGCTGGAGACAGCATGGGTTGGGGATGGTGGAAGATTTCAAAGTGCTGCTCAATCCTGCCTGTAGTGAAGCCATTCTCCCTGTGAGCTGACTCTATTGTTCTTCACCTCATTCCTCGGACTTAGGTGAAAAGTTTTTCTCTTCCTTTTTCTGCTCAATAACCCATCAATTTCAGCAAATTCGAGTACTTGTCCAAGGACTGTGACAGACTATATTACTCTCTTGGGCTGAGAACTATAGAAACTCTAGTTGTTGTGGAAAAAAAGAAAAGAAAAGAAAAATCCCACAAAGCCAGAACATTTGCATGCCAAATGCCCATTTTCAAGGACTTTTAAATAAGGATGTTAATATCTGTGGGGAGCTTGGAGCTTCATGTGCAGATTTTCTCATTACTGGGGAGAAATCTCTTCCAGCTGAAGGATAATGGACTCTGTCAACAGAATCAACAAAACAGGTATAGATTGTCCTTTATCTTCACATTAAAACAACAACAAAAAGTCCTGTAGAATGTCATTACTCATAATTTTGTTGTAGAAAGATTGAAAAGTGGTATAACTACTGCAATCAGTCTATAAATATTTTTGACAAGTAACTTCTGGGAGTCTGGAGTGGAGGGAGGGGCAATATCAGAAACAGTTCCAGCCTCTACGGAGTCTATAGGGGGTTGGGATCTAATACTAATGCATAAGAAACAGAAAAATATCAGACAGAGCATAATCAAGAGCTAATGGTATGATATTCACACCGGATGTGCAGAGAAGGGAGAGAGGAGAGGAGGGAGGATTCATCTAGGTCTTCCCCAATGGGCAGTTTTTGGAGAATGGAGGAGCCATTTAGTCTGGTCAGTGGTGACAGTGTGCACACAGGCATAAATGCAAGGAGTAGCAGTGCACCGTGGGGATCTGTAAGGTTGGTAGGGTGAAGCAGGAGTTCATGCTAGGAGTGGTGAATATTTCAGTGTAGCACATTGGGAATCTATGAGCATGGGCGGGCGGGGGTGGACAGTGACTATAAAACCGGTTTGACTGTTAAGATGAATGGAAATCCTGTTTTTTTCTCCCAAAACTACTCCCAGAGGCAACAACCCTTGGCTAATGAGATTTGTTTGAGTTGTCCCTGGTGGACGCTGCGCTCTGGATCTCAAACCGCACCAGCACAGCAGCCTGGAGCCGCTTCCGGGCAAGCTAAGGATTATGGGAGCTCACTTCCGGCAGTCGCGGCTTGAGCCCTTTTCTCCTTTCCCCCTGAAAAAAAATCATCTTTTGCCTAGGGCAAAAGTTGCAAATGAGCAGCGTGCAAATAAAACCCAGATTTCTTAGTGTTTACACTAATAAAAAAAAATTACTTGCTAACATGTAAACATTTATTTCTAAAGGAAAATCTCTGTTTTCCAAATTCTTTTGAAATGTTAGAAGATCTGGCTGCCCCAGGTGTACATTTGCACTTGGTAACGTCCAGTCGTCTGGAACTGATTCTGGCTGCTCCTCCAGCTCCTCGTTATCTTCACAACACCCAGCCTCCAACATGCTCCCTGCTCGGCCCATTTTGTGACCTTGCATTTAAAGCGTGCGTTCCCAATGAGACTGATACTGGTTCTCCGGGGGAGGCAGGAAAAGTCTTAGTACAATGGTTGTGGTCCCCCAAAGGGCCACAGTACATCGACAGAGCAGATGTGCAATATATCTGTGGTATTAAAATGTCATGGAGTGACGGGGTGGAGAGGAAGGAGGGCAATTAAGATTAAAAAAAAAAAACAAAACCCTAAAAATGCTCTTTGCAGGGGGAGTGGGGTGATAATAAAATAATAGCTGAGAAATTTTGGTTTAGAGCAGAGAGTACAGAATGGTACAGCGAGAGAGGGGTCACCTCTCTGAGAGAGGGAAGAAGGATTTGGCAGCTATGCACGGGTGAGCATGGAGGTTCGAAACAGAAAAAAAGTGGAAAGCTGGAGACTTTCCATGTAACAATACCACTTTTAGGACTGTGATTTTCTTAATTTGGCAGCTGTAACAGTCACCGCTTTGGGCCCAGGGATGTGCATTTTTAACAAGTAACAGGCGATTCTGATGCAGGGATCTGCTGACCCCAACTATAGAAAGAAATCTTTCTTTGTGGCCCTGGCCCGATCAAGTCTGGGTGTGGCGCCCTCTGCGTGCCATTGTCTTTACTGACCCTTTACCATTATTCAGCAGGCTTCTCTACACAGAAAATTTGCTCCCTTACCTGTATAGGACTGATGGGCTAGATAGGTCTGTTGAGGAGGGGCTGCGGAACAGGCAGCACCCCCGGTCCTTTCCTTACCCCGCTCCCACTACATATGGCAAGTGGCCAAGTTCTGGGAATCAGTGGGCTGGGAAAGTAAAATGTTTGCCTTTATTAGCCCCATCTCTAGATCAGCTAGATTCAGTTGAATTAACCAGTATGTGACAGGCAGGTCTTTAATCTGGAAGGGTTTCCACGGTCTACTCCAGGCCCAGGGCCTGCATCACCACCAGACCAAGTGGTACAGGATTGGGCAGGTTTATGACTTGGGCTCACATTTTATGTAAATGTGTCCTCTCATCTTTCTTCCCTTCCCCTGCTGCCTCTTTTGTTTAGGTGTCCTTACTAGTTTCTTGAGACTATCAACTAAATCTGTATGTGTGATCGTGCAGGCTGCTTTTTGTCAGATCACTGTGGACTTGTAGCTTGTGTGCATTGAGTGGTGGTGTGTGGATGATCGAACTTTAACTAAAGCTCAAGGGGATGGGAGCCTGGGCTACTGAGCCCAGTGTCTTCATGAGGCCCCAAGAAAGATTTTCCACCACGAAGCTGAATTCCTTCTTCCTCCTCTGACAGTTTCCGCTTTGTATTTTCTCCTGGTTCTACTTAGATCTGCGATAAAATAGAAATTCTTGTGAAATTTAAGCAGGGTGATGGTCTGCTGGACAAAGTAGCATCTCTCTGCAAAATTTGTTGATTGCTGGAGGTGAACACTTTCTTTATATTAGTGTTCTTATCCATAAAATTCAGATGACAAAATGTTACTTTTATGGTTTTGCTCCATGGATTCTGAAACTACAAAAGTCTTCCCATTCAAAAAAGGGGTCCACTTCTAGAAAAACATTAGCTTTACCCTGATTACTACATGTGGGACTTGTCTTCACACTTTGGGAGAATTCAAATGGTGTCTGTAAGATATTTTGAATTAATCAAAAGACTAATGCTTTTTTTTTTTTTTTAATCCCGAAGTTTCTGTCTTAAACTCGAGGTTGTTTCACTATGAGAATAGTTTTTCTTCCTTAAGGAATGTATACTTTTCAGCTTGAAAAGGGGTAACAAGAGGTGATTGTGATAAATAGGGTCTTTTCTGGAATGCTGCTTCAGCTCTCAACCTAGCTCAGTGTTTGACAGTCTTTCCTGGGTTAGGTCAATCTGGCTTTCTGTCATCTATTCTCCTTGCTATGGGGAGGTTGGGTTTATTTTAAGGATGAATCTGAATGCCACCTTGATGGGAACTTCAGGGAAAAACCCTCAGATCTCCCACAAGGTGGATCCAGCACTTTTATCCAGCTCTAGGGAAACCCAATCTGGGGTTTCCATGGAAGGTGGTGGAAGTGGCATCTTTTATAGAAGTTGGCTCCAGATTACATGAGCCTGATATAATAAAGGCAGGGCCAGAAAGTAATAGCAATGATGGCCAGGGTCCACTCTGAGTTTGCCCCTTGATCAACTTATAGAGGGATTAACTGGGCTGGGGACTTAGCCTAAAATGGCATTGAAAATTGGCAGTGACTTATAATGATGACATTTCCCGAATCAAATCTGGGATGCATGGACTGAAAAGTAAAAAAGATTTTTATGGGTGCTAAATGCAAACTGTATGAAAACAAACCTGTTTTGTAGAATCTGGTTGCATGGTCACTGGGCCCATACTGAATTGAGTGCTCAGGATGCATTAGTCAGGACGGATTTTGGCTTTTTTATTTGTTTGTTTCTTTTTTTAAATTTAGCTCCCTCCCACTCTTAGCCCGGGCATCAGTGTAAGGAGCTGCTAAATGGGTTGAATAGTCACCATGCATCAACATCATCCTTTTATGATTCCTGATTTGTGGGATTGTTACGAGAGTAATATAAATCTTTAAAGAAGCTTCCAAAGGTGTGAATTAATTAACTCTCTTATGTAAATAGCTGTCTGCTTTTTAGTGCTATTCTCGCAGCAAATAATGGGCATATTTACCAAATATTTCTGAGAAATAGGAAACCATTTGGGAGTTTCCAACGCAATTTGGGAGAACAGAATTTTTGCAATATGTTGACCTCTTTGGGTTGTAGAAAATGGCATGAATTGTGAATCAGGGGTTTCACTGTGCTATATGCTATTGCCATCCATCTTTACATTCACTTTATAGTTTTGTTTTTTTTCTGGAACTAAGTCATTTGCTGTCTAAGGACCAAGCTTAGGGGTTCAGAAAATGTATACTGGAAAAAAATCCAGCAAGCAATCAAAACCCTAAATCTACCTATTTCTAAACAGTGCACTGTAAATCTTAAACCTAATTGGGACATTTGTCAAGTCACTTGTTCGACTTTTCTTCTAGACTTTCTAAAAATTGTGCTTATAAAAACTATATCCACCTCTGATGACTATGGAGACTGAGGAAGATTTAACACAAGGCAAGGTGTGTAGGTGCTACAAATAAGTACTGTGCAGATTTTCTAACAAGTATGCATGTTTGGTAATTCTGAACCCAGATGTGCTCTTCTTTGCATATGAAGATCTTGTTATCATTACTAAGGTATTAACTTGGCATTATTTTGCTTGGAGTGGGCAAAACTTTTGTATGATCCACCTATTCTAGTTCATCTGGCATATGGCAGGTTAGCCAACACTAGGATGACCTTCTTTGACAATGACATGGAGGACTCACTGGCAATGGTTTTGACCAAAGTTTTGGTGATATTGTGATATAATAAGATGTATATATATATATCTTATTATATCTGTGATATAACTGTGATATTATTGTGATATCACATATCACAATGTCTTATTATAGCTAATTATATAATGAACAATTACTAGATATGATAAGATATATCTTATTATAATATATATATCATATATATGCTATATATATCTTATATATCATATATATATCTTATAAGATATATATATATATCTTATTATATCTAGTAATTGTTAGGAAATTACCAGAGTTTTAGGAGCCCTGTGCCAGGAACCAAGGAAGAAGACCAAGGAGATATATATATATATATATAT